AATTACATAATTTTAATTCTTCCATCGGTTAAATATAACGTGACAATTAAATAATTTCATTTGACATTTTCTTTTTATTTTTTTTGATGACATGACAATTATATATATATATATTATATTTATAGTATATAGATAAATAAAAATGTCATGTAAATAAATATTTATATTTGAATTAAAAAATAAAATTACATTACTACCCTCATCTCCTAATCCCTCTTCTTCCCCTTCTTTCTTTCTCTTTCTTCTTTCCTACCCAGATCCCTCTTTTTCCCCTTCTTTCTTTCTCTTTCTTTCTTTCTTACCCAGATCAGCTAGGTTCTGATGAGCTGGGTAGTTGGGTTCCGATGAGCTAGGTAGTTGGGTTTGACAAAACCCAGATCTACTGGGTTCCGTCGAACCCAGCTTTGCTGGTCGCCCGAACCCAGCCTTGCTGGGCTCGTCGAAACCCAGCTGCTGGGTTTGCGCGACCAGCAAGGCTGGGTTTCGGCCAACCCAGCCATGTTGGTCGTGTTTGCTGGTTTCATTGAAACCCAACCTTGCTGGGTTTCGACACTGAGTTCATGTTTTTTCATTCTTGTTTTGATTTTCATTTTCGGTTCTTGATAAATTTGAGAGTTGATTTACAATTTGATTGCATTTTTGTTAGAATTGGATTAGAGTTTGATTGCATTTGTTTATTGAAGGGTTAATTTGATTTGGTGAGATCTATTGGCTTGATGAACTCAGTGGGTTTAATGAAACTAGTAACTGGGTTCGATGATAAAGAACTCAAATTTTACTCTGGAGCATTCTAGGGTTCATAGGTTTTTTGCAGGTTTTAATGAATTTGATTTGTGAGAATATGAACTCTCAACGTCATAGCATTTAACCTTTTATGGGTCCACCAGCAGCTGGGTTTCGACGAACTCAGCCGATCTGGGTAGGAAAGAAAGAAAGAGAAAGAAAGAAGGGGAAGAAGAGGGATTAAGCGGGGAGGGTAATAATGTAATTTTATTTTTTAATTAAAATATAAATATTTATCTACGTGACACTTTTATTTATCTATATAACATAATTATAATATATATATAATTGTCATGTCATCAAAAAAAATTTAAAAAAAATGTCAAATAAAATTATTTAACTGTCACGTCATATTTAACTGATAGAATGACTAAAATTGTGTAATTTTTAGAGTTAAAAGATAAAAAAATGAAAAAAAATAATTTAAGACCAAAAAAGTACAAACTTATAAAGTTGAGGAATCAAATTTAGTATTTAACCTTTTTTTTTTTATTTTCCGCGCGGGAGAAGGTGACATGGAGGGTGTCATTAAATCCATGTAAGCATCTTTGACATATTGACATATCCACATCAGCCGTTCCAGTTAAGTTAACGTGCCACGTGAACAAAAATTAATGGAAGGACTAAAAAGGGACCGGATTTTAAAATTTAGGGATCAAAAAGGAGATTTTTTCGGTACATGAACCAAAAAGGGACTTTTTCCTATAGTAGAGGGACCAAAAAAGGTATTTAACCTATTTAAAATTTGTGTGTAATTATTAAATCGCTATTCTATTTTTAATGAGTCACCAAAAAAAAATATTCATTAAAATATTAAAATAATTAATTTCATAACATTTCTTGTACTTTTTCTCGGTGAAGATTGACTTA